GGGTCAGTGGGCAAGGCGGGGCTCCGGTCGCTGCGATGGTCCCTGTTACAGCGGTCGAGGGGAGGGCCGTTTCCTCTTGCTCAATCCTCCGTTTGCCTAGTGGTGTTAGGCGGCGGGGGAGGTTTCTATTGACCTCGTCTAGTGGTGTTAGAAGAGTTCGGAGGGAATCGGAGTGGGTTGGCCTATGGCTCTCTCGGTTTACGATGGGTCGATTTGGGGGCTGGTTTGGGTTAGGGTTTTGCTACTGTATAGGCTTGATTGCAGTTTCGATAGTAAATTCTTCGCCTGGATTGGTCTTGTGTCGATCGTGTTGGTTCGGGCTAGCTTGTTTGCTGGGGAAGGGCTGTTAGTTTTTGTTGGTCTTTAGGTATTTTTTCTTGTGTTTTGTTTATGTGTTCGTATTTGTGTTCCAAGTGTCTTGTCTTTTTGGTTTGGGTCGTTGGCCCCTGTGAGCCCGAGTGTCAAACTTATTACCTCGTTGCGGTCCGACACTCAGGTATTACCCTGTTGGGGTCCTTGTAGTTGTTTTAGTTGTTTGTGTTGTTGGTTAGTTTAGTTGCGAGTGTTTTTATTCTAGCGTTACTAGCAGGGATTCTAGGCGGTCTTCTGACCTGTCCTCCCACTTTTTCAGCTGTTGGCTGCTGTGTATTCAGCCGTTGACTGCTGTGTATTCGCACATTTGTACATTTTGATTTATAATATTTTCTATCGTTTTGGGAAAAATAAAAAATAAATAAAAATAAGAAGAAATTCAGACAAGAGTTTATGGGCCCCTCTTGGGCCTTTATTTCACCAATATTCTCACTTCACGAGGGATTCCAATATCTTAATTATGTTCATTGAATTTCAACGGGGCTTGGTGAAAGATTTCATTAAGATGGCCAACACTTCTTTATATTTTATTTTGTCCAGGTCAAATTTTCATATATTTGATATATTTACGACCAAAGTTCTAAAGGCGCTATTGTTTTATATTACATTTTCATAACAAACTATGCATAACACAGAAACTAATATTTTATATTACATTTCATGAATAAAAATTATTATATACGAAAACCTAGGTGGCACTTGAACCACCTAAACAGTCTACGTGTGACTAACTTTGCGACTTCTTGGACCATCTACCCGCCTAGGTGTCGCTTAATNAAAGAATGGAGTTATCATCAGGATTAAAATATAAAATTAGAGGATAAACATATAATTTTGGGATTTTATTATATTTCCTTTAGTTGTGATAACGCGTTTATGTTATAACTTCAATAAAGTTATGAGTTGAATTAAATTATAATTGGTTGATTTGCAAAGTAATTCATTATGTATTTTCCTTCTTTTACTTTTATTTTTAAAATAGGGACATGATTAAAATTATGAAAAATATTTCCACAATTTTTGCTACCTTATCCTAGATGTTTTGGGATGAGGGTCTATAAACATGGATCTGCCCATGATTCCAAAAGAAAAAAAATTCAGAAACTTTTCATCAAAAAATCAAAAAAAGAGTAATAACATTGAAATATTCATTAGATTGTCGTTGAAAGTCGACTATAATATATTTTCGTTGAAATTTCATCATTTTCTTGTAGTGAAAGTAGAGCTTTGAATCAATAAAATAATTTACATTATATATAATATTGTGTGTCACTAATTATTATGAAATTATTGCCAATGATAGAAAATATAACACATTTAATGTAATTTTCATTTAATTTATGATAATTAATAACTTTTTTAAAACAAACAAAAAACATCTACGTTGAAAAGTCTTTAATTATATTAATAAAATTATAATAACTAAACAAGGGGTAAGTGTTTGTCCCATTTTTGTTATCTTTTTCCTTATTGGTTTATAGGTTTTTAGCCCCCGATTTAGGTTTTTCGATAGGGTTTTCGGTCTTGCAGTCGTTTATTTCGTGTCTTTGCTATTATTTTGTTATTTACATATATTCATTGGTTTTCTCTGTTTTCCGGGTATTTTCTTGTTCTTGGAGATGTGCAGGTTTGGATCGTTGACCCGATATTTGGAGTTTATTCAATTGAACTGTTCCGGTTTTACAAGCCTTTTCCAGTTACCACTTCATTTTCACCTTTGTGCCTCAACGAGTCTTCAGAACTTTAAACTCACACGTCACGCCGTGGAGAACGTCGCGTCGCGGCAACCCAGCTACCTCATGCCGCTGCCTCACCGCGGAGCTCTTAACGGGCCTTCTGACAGCCCTTTTCAGTCGCCACGCCGCGACATTCCAAGCCTCTCACGCCGTGAGCCACGCCGTGAGCCACGCCGCGGCGGCCTCCTGCGCCGTGCCACCTTCTTCTCTCCACGCCGTGAGACTCCTAACGAGCGGACAGAGACCTCGACACTCCAGTTACATCATGGCGCGACAAGTGTAACGCCGCGGCACATCCTCTCTCCACGCCGGGGCCTCGCGTCACGCAGTATCTCACGCCAACCACGTCGTCACATCGCGCTGCGGCAGGCCTCGCGCCGCGGCGCTTGATTTTTTTTTGAATGTCGAAACCGTTCGCGTTTAAGTAGGATCGAGCAAGGGTTTGAGAATTCATTCTGCACTTTTTATTTTTCTCTCATTTTATCAGACGAAAAACTTGTTCCTTCTATCTTTTGCTTGTCTTTGAGATTTTTGGGAGTGACACCGAAGGATTTTGATCGTGAATTTGGATTGTGCTTGAGATTCAACACTTGACTCTTATTTATCGTAAGCTTTCTTCTCATGTTGATTATGAGTTTGGAGTATTTACTTTATATTATGTCTTGTGTTCATCTTGGCATGAGTGGCTAAATTCTTAAGCTAGGGTAAGGGGGTGATTACTCGTACTCGTGTGCTTATCTTGCCTGTGAATTTCGTTCAATCTTTTCGAGTTGATTTAAACCTAGGGTTGGATGCTTGATCACCATTCTGATCTAATTAATCGACTTGTAGAACCGAAAGGGGAGAAGTCGGTGGATTCAGGCTCGACTAGAGTAGGCTTGTTCGTAATTGTATTGCCTACGTGTTAATTGATTGGTTTAATTTGCCGTCTATATTTTTTCTCTTGTTACGAGAAGTTATTCAGGAATAATCTCTAGATGTGTAGGTTGATTGAATCATTTAGCCGAATGATTTTCGCTTGGTGTTCGAATTTGGTTAGAGTATAATCATCCCCGATTCCCTAGCCTTCGTACGTAGAAGAAACTCGTTTTAAGTGTTGATAATTGTTTATTTGCATTGCTTGAGAATTATTAGTTGATAATTGAAAACCCAAATCATTGAATTAGAGTGTTTAGGGATTTGTTTTTTTTTTTCGTGTGATTGAATATCCGTACAAATAATCCGGCTAACCTTCCTTGAGATACGACCTGGGGATTGAATCATTTGGTTTAACTCCGGTAAAAATAACTACAATAGTAAGAATGGTGTTCTACGTAATAGAAATGTAAGACTAGGCAATGAGAAAACACATAGATCGCATTCAATCCATAAGTCAAAAAAAGTGATGTTTATTTTAACTAAAACTTTTGAGTACATAAATATATATTTTTTGCATTAAAAATTTGTATGTCAACATTAATTTTTTTAGTTACAAATTTAACAAATGGTATGTTTCTTAATATTGTCTCATTGTTTTTTTTTTTTTTTTTGTCCAAGAAAGGATCTTTATCTTGAATTTTTGAAGCATTATGTATGATGCAAAAAAATTGGACAATAAAGCATTAAAGAAGTTATTAGGCACATAAGTACTGCAAATTCGAACGAATGTGAAAGATATTATGATAAACAACGCAAAAATTATTGTAACAACCAACATGGTCAATGATTTGAAAATAACAGATTATATAGTTCGTTTGTCTTCCGAATAAATAACATTGAAAAAAAATGTCGAAGCCTGATCAAAACATTCTTGAATGTTTGAATGAAATTGTCCCTTTTTTATAGGAATATTTATGATCTCATTGTGTATTTTGCTTGAACATATGTGCAATTACTTTATAGAACGTACTTTCATGTAATATGATAATTTCAAAAAGTAGTTAGCATCTCGGGAGAAGTACATGTGACTAAGATTTTGGAAAGTCAATTTTTATTTGGAAATGAAATTCGTTCCCACCCCATGGGGCAATGTTTCCATGAGGCAGGTACCAATTTTTCTATATGGACATAGTAATGAAGTACATTATACAATGATAAAAAAATATCAACAATTTATTGATATAGTTGGTTATTTTACAAAGATATTCATGACTGTTAGTAGAAATACCTTATGAAGATCATACAATTATAAAGTTCGACTATATGTTTGACCAGAATATTTATAAGTGTTTGAATAAAGTATACGTTTTGCCAAATGAATTAAGAAGAATTTTACAATACTATTGATATACTGGGCTCCAAAGAATATTTCTTATGAAAACGTCAAAATCAAAACGAAAGAAAATTACTCTTTTTATTAGTCTTTTTTTTCCACTTAGGGACTATAGTTTTGTTGGGGTGGTAATATGTCATTTTATTTATTTATTTTTATATTAGGATATCAATATGCTATTTAACAAAATATATTAGAAGCCCATTTGTTATATATTTTATTTTGTTTTTGCAAGAATATGTTTAATGAATTAAGTAATTTATTTTTACTAAATTTAATTAGTAAAAACATTCACCGCCACGTGCGATGCACGTGCACTTTACTAGTCCTCTATAAGAGTGCTAGTGAATTTGTAAAATTATGAAATATCTAATATACCCTTACTTTATAAAGAAAAATCAAATCGATTCTCGCCNATAAATTCAAACGATCAGGCCAGTCCCACAAAAATTCCAGCCGCGTTTTCAATTGACAACATCAATTTCAACAGCAATCGGTCTCAATCCCAGCCGCGTTTTCAACCGAAACCGCCGACGCCACACCAGCGCCAGCCTTTGGCCTCTTAATTTCATCTCCGCATGTGATTCCCCCCTTTCTGCTGATTATTTGTTTTCCTTGTAAATTTAGGGTATGCACAATCTATGCACCAATTTTCCGATTGCGTCACTGTTGAAATCGACTTTATCTATGCGCGTCTGTGTCTTCTTGCGGAGAAGATTGTTTCACCAAAGTATTTGAAATTTGGATAGTTTTGTGATGGGTTTTTGTTTTTTCATGTCTGTTTGATAAAAAGTGTGAGTTTTTATATCTTGTTTGATTATATTTGTTGTGACTGAAAATGGGACGAGATGAGCATGGTTTCTTTTTATTTGGGCTACTGAAGGTTGCACAGTTATTTTGATCCCCACAAATTCATCTCACCTGGCTAAGACAAGATAAATCGAAAATATATTTAACTACACCACAGTAATGCTTTGATAATCCACTAAAAAGTATTCAGACATCTCCAGAACATTTAGAAGCATGTTCATGTATTTAACTTAGACAATTCTTGCAACATCTTTCTGCGTGTAAATGAAGTGCTTTGCCAAAATATCATGATGAATAAAGTGGTGTGCTTCTCATATTATTTTCTCACTTTACCCGATATTTTTTTTTTTTTTTTNTTTTTTTTTTTTTTTTGGTGAATAATAGACTGCAGGGCCTTTTTATGAGTGGATGGGTTTTTATTTTTTCATGTCTGTTAGATAAAAAAAGTTTAGCATCTGTTACTGAATTAGTCCTTTTCAATTGTCTTGTAGGAAGTGTTCTCTCAGATTACCTCTTTTATTCTTTTGACTCCTTTTGCTACCTACGGAGAAAATAAAATTATTGGATTTATTTTTTGGGGGAGTTAACCTTAATGATGAAATGTAGTCGAGTGATTAACTAAAAATTGTTATCTCTTCCACCCACAAATACCGAATAATACGCCCATCGGCCAACCCAAAAACGCTATACAATGAGATAAAATTCGACTCCATTCTCTCTAAGAAAATCGGGCAGGGATCGAAGAAGGCCAGACAACGATCGAGTGGAGAAAAATCGGCCAGGGATCAAAGAAGGCCAGCCCCCAAAAAAATTCCGGTATGCTCATGATTCTATGGTGTTAGGGTACTTAATTGTGTGGTGATTTTATTTACTGTTTTTTACTTTTGCTGCTTCTGTAATTTATATTGCTGTTAGATTTCACGTTTTCATAACTGATTTACGAAGCATTTTACGCAATGATAAATTTTCACCAACTGAATTTGATGAAGGATGGAAGAAAAGGGAAGATGTAGTTACTGTTGTAGGTTGTATGCTTTATCTATCAGTAAAATTATTGGCAGAACGAGGTTTCCGATTATTTCTCTGTTTTTCAGTATTTTTTCCATTTGCGTGTGTTTTGTTTATTTGTGCTATGCTCATTATTTTATGGTCTTAGGGTACTTAATTGTGTGGTGATTTTATTTATTTTTCTTCCTTTGATTTGCTTCATTTTTCCAAAAATCCTTGGGACTTGGATATTCCAGTTGACATTTGCATTTTGAGTTGTCATTGGTGTCACAGTCAGGCAAAGCAAGCTAAGTAAAGCGGAAAAATCTCGAGCGACGGCGAGGATTCAAAGAGTGGGACAGGACCCGGATAATAAATGGGGATATCAAGGGTAATCCCGTGTTTTCATCTCTGGAAAGTGGCCCGGATAAGCAATGGGAAAACAAAATGATTGAAAAGGTCGTTGACGCGGAGCTAGCTCGTCGGGCCCACGTGACCGGAGAAGGAAAGTTGAAAGCAGAGGATAATAATCTCCAGGCATTCGGAAAAGTCGATAAAGAACCGAGTGTTAATCAATGTTTGGCTATCAAAAGATCAAAATTCAAATGCATTGCTTAGGATTGGTTTTGGTAAAAAACGGTTTGATTGTTTTCCCTCTTTTTCTTTTTCTTTTTTTTTTTGGGTTCCTTTTGCTACTGAAGGCTTTGCTACTGAAGGCTGCTTGTTCTCTATCATCTTTTTTGCTTGATGATAGCTTGATGTGACTCTTATATATACTGTATCATGAACTTCATATTGGTGTGTTGATATTAGAACTTCACATTTTATTTTCTTTGAACTGGAATTCTTATGATGCAAGTTTTAGTACAGATTTAAATAACTCATTTTAGTGATTTTATAAGTCCTGCATTGTTCTTCAAAAATTACATGTGCTTGTGGTTTTGACTCATGATTTGATTAGGCTGAAATTGAGAATACTTTGGTGGCTCACTTGTGTTGTTCACTTATCTCCATCTGCATCTTTGTGCACCAGGATTGCTCGACATAAATAAAAAGTATTTTGATGTCCAGCAACTAAGCTTCTTTTCTGTCTGGTGTATTCATTTGTACTATGTTATTTATAACTCATTAGCTATGCAACTCAATGAACATCAGGGCCGTTAAGAAATCGTTGCATGTCGGTTTTACGTGGATCATGAATGTTTTATCGTTATATGCCGTTACAATCTTACGTTCTTTATTTGGCCAAAGTTTAGTAACTCGTGAACACTTGATGTTGATTTTCCTAATCTATCGACACGTGCTATTCGTTCAAATAATGGAATAGGAAATCTGGACTACATTTACTTTTGGATTTCTCCCATAAATCTTTCATGTGATTGCAGATGTTAAGAATTTGTTCCTTATTATTTCTTTTCACGTGTCTGTTAGCCATATCGGATAAGCCTACCAGGTATAATTGAATTTCGAATGTATGCTTATTTACAACTATTAGCTAATAAATGTTTTCATACCTGTTCTTTTCATGCTTGTGGATTATTATGCTCTTCTAAGCTTTCTATCTAATTCGTTGGTTTACTTACAGATGCATTTTATACTCCTTTATGGCCGTGTTGTTCGTCTTTGTTGAAGCTGTGGATGCTGAGAAACATCTTATCACTTTGCTTTGAAGCTGTGTATGCTAAGAAACATCTTACCACTTTGCTATATGCAAAGTTTGTGGTCAGATTTGGCATCTGGTTGCAGTTTGGCCCCTTTGTTCTGTGTTTGTGGGGGTGTTTTAATCATTTTCCTTTTGAATTCTTGAATGTTCTATACTGCCAGTTTCTGTTTTAGTTGGGGGATATATATTAATGGTTTTTATTAAAGGGAATTGGTAATATATTCGAGAGTCCAAATTATTCCTCATTTAAATTTTCATTAGATCCTCATGTTTGTATCATCATCCGTAAATATAAACAAATCATCTTCGGAACTAAAGCGTTTGAACTCTTTTTTTTATTAGGAATCCTTATTAATTATAGTTCTTATAATAAATATAAAGAATTTAACTTTAAGTATATACAATTTTAATCAAACACTAATACTTATTAAACTTCCATATCGTTAACTACATACAACATAAATTGTATATAACTTCTACGTACATATGTTTACTCAACCATTTTGAGATTTGGAGAAAATTCATCGTTTTTGTAAGGCCTCCCGTTGCAAGATCACCATTTGTAAGTCAATTTTCTCTATACAATTTGTAATTACATTACATGGACTTTTATTTCTTGCATTATTGTGTATTATATAAAATATCATGCAGGATCAAAGATATAGCAATGTCGAACACTAGCCCAAAACACATTCACGATCTAATTGAAACCTCTACGATTAGGTTTGGATGTCCATTGTGAAAATAACGCTTCAACTCAGATACAAAAGATGATAATGGTAGACAAGAATGTAAGTACATAGTTTAATTTTTATAGAATGCTTACTTTCAAATTTTTTCACATGCATCATTTGAATATTTAGATCTTAGATATTTACATCTTTTTATGAGTCGATGCTCGTCAATAAATATACTTTAGGGATTCGCAAGTGGATAACTATGTCTAAATGAAAATATTCGTCAGACAAATTATCAACTACAACTGTAACCTTTTCCAATCACAATGTTTATAGGTGTCGGTTCATTATAGTCTCCTTATGGGATGATATGACACAAAATGAAGGATCAGTTCTACATGATATGGTTGCACAAAGGCCGTTTGTAACGTTCAGTAAGCTAACAACACCGAAGATATTACAACGGTAAAAACAAAATACATTATATTATAAAATAGTATAAATAATTAATTTTGAAAAATGTATTTATATCCTATAGTTTTTTATTGATGAAACAATTGGATTTTCAATTTTAATAATGCTCACTTTATATCATAAGGTCAAATGCAATTGCAAACAAACGACACATCTATTCTGGAAACCAACGCGCTTTGTGAAGAAAACAAGCAATTTCGTCAATGGTATACTCTAAATTCAGGGAATTAATGTAATATAATACAATCTAATTCAAGATAATAAGACCTTCTGTATTTATGTAATATTTATTAGGTTGCAAGCACATGACAAAAGTCTATGAAGTTGCTTGAAATGTCGATGAGGTAAAGATGAATGATGTAGAAGTTGTGACCTTACATCAAATTTGGTTCAACCGAGACGAGGGTCACAAGTTTTTCCTACTCAATATCTTTGTGTGTGCATATATTTTTAGGATTTCATTCGTGATCTTTTGTTTGAAAATTGACTGAATAGTTAATGCATATTGTTCGCACAAAATAAAATAAAATAAAATGCCTTGCCTTGAAAATGAAATAAAATGTGAAAAAGGTTGTCTGTAGACATGATATTTAAAAATAACTTATATCTACTATAGCCTAAATTAGATCTTCATATTACATTTACAGCATATCTGCAAGTTAGCGTGGTCATAGACTATAAGGTAATAAAATATCACACAAAAGAAAATGATGCATGGACAAAAAAATTTGATCCACTTTGGACATCATTATACTTTTGGCCGTGTTGCAATATTTTGATCAATGAGTTCAACACATGATTTCGATTTCTTTAGTTTTGTTCAACAGGTAAAAGATTTTTTTTAACAAAATTTAAGTGATTTTTCTTACTTATGTGAGTGTTTGAAATATTATGTGTAAACAAAGTATTTAGTTAAATAGATTTAGTTATTATATACAAAACAATGAAACTTGTAAATCAACTATTTAATTCATATACTTTTAATGCAAATATAGTGGCTTGGATTATATTGCAACACAAAGCAAAACATAAGTTATATGTAATACAAAGAGAATCAAATTGCGACAACATTATCTACACATTAAGTGGGGAATTCGCTTGTTAACAACAGTCTTTGTTCTCAAATTCCTTCGTATGATTAGACAAAATATAAATATAGTTCCCGATTTTTCCGTCTCTATATTTTAGACTACTTTTATTATCCTTTTCTTTTCATCACAGGAAAAATTCTAATCTTTCAAATGATTCGTAGATAAGGTCGTGAATAAATCTTCTTTGATGGTATGAATCGTGTAAAATTTGTGTCGCTGCAACTGAGAAGAACGACGACTGTAAGGCATGAAAAAAGTGCAACAACAAAGTCGTGGAACCAACTCCAAGATATTAAACATCACAAAAAGACCACATCTAATATTTTATGTATAAAAGAAATTTACAAAATGTTATACAATCATCGCAGATATAGGTTGGTCTTAAACGTCATGAGAGATAACCAAAATGCAACTATAATAACTTTATTTGAGTATGCTGCAATGGTGTACATTGGATGTCCTATTAATGATTACCTCAGATCAATTGAGCAGGTGAAATATATTTTTATTTTCAAATTCACATGAATCGTTAAGTATATTATTTATTAAAGGCTTATTTTTCAATGCTCATTAGGGGGAAGAATTATCTGGATATTATAGAGGGTTGATCTTGCATGTGATGTGGATGAAGACAAAGCGCCAAAAAGGACCAAGTGCAGAAAGAAGCGATCCACAAACAAAACAATAAAAGATGAAAATGATTGCGTTATTGAAGTTGAAGATTTTGAGACAATTAGTAGTTTTAAGAAGAAATGTATAAAAAATAATACAAAAGCAAAAGAAAGGAAATCATCACAATAAAGGAGAAGAACTGAAGCAAAAATAATTCACATTAGTTTCTTATTTAGTTAATTCTCTATTTTATAGACAATTTGTCTTTGCATAGTAACTTATTTGACTTTTATTTAGATTTGAAAAACATTATCTTTCGAATATTTATGTGTTTGTGACTTCATATATTATTTCAATAACTTCAAATACCCACTAAATATAATGCACTACAAAATCGCAAAAAGAAAATAGAAAAAGTATTGCAAATGATATTGTGCACAACTATGCAACTCGGAACAACACGAAAAAAAAAAAAAAAAAAAAAAAAAAGAAAAAAATCACAAAGCAGACCAATATTTGTCACGTGCGTCGCACGTGCACTTTACTAGTAACTAAGAAAAGCTCAAACCCGCCACCAGATAACTAGCAATGATGTGGTTGATTAATTTTTTGCCTTTTCTCAACAAGGGAGCAAATCAATCGTGTTGATTTTCGGCCCGTCATCCGAATGATTCTCGAGTTGGGAGATCTCTTTACAGTGAGTGCATCCTTCCTTGTGATTCAAACCAACTGCTATAATAAAAGCAATGGCAATGACAAGCGGAACACATTTCGGATATGCTTTATAGATAATGAGTCCCACCTCAAATAGCATAGCCATGAAGCAATCAACAATGCCGAAGTTTTCATTGGTTCCAACAATGTTTAGCAAGGGAATATAATGAAAACAGAACGATAAAACAAAAAATATTTGGAGTAAATCCTTGAGCAGATAAGTCGCCAACAAACACGCAAGGATAAAGATGCCCATGCAAAAGCATTTGGCCTCAGGCCAAATTTTGAAGGTCATGTCTTCTGATTTGTTATCCTCAACACTTTTGAAGACACCGATGATTTTAAACAAGAATCCAATGGTCAATAGTGACAAGCTAATTAGCAGGAAAGCGAGAAGTACATAGCCGTCTGCATCATGCCACTTCCAAAGCTTCCGGACTGCTGCCGGGATGGCTTCCTGAACAGGTGGATCTATTATTGCCGTGATAAACACAATAAAAATTATCCATTCGCATACTACCAAGAAACACCAAAATCTTCGCCTTACTATCCCGTTCTCTTCTGCCATCCCCAATTTGAATTTGTTCACATTGTTCTTCAAACATTTTACAGAATCTATGAAAAGTTGATTGGTAGGCTTGGAACTGCTATACTCCATGATGACATTAATTTTATCTCTACCATATGCCCAGGCAACACGAGCCCCATCACCAACTCTCTTCAATCCCAAGAGAAGCATTGAGATGCTTGGTTTCAACAAAGATTCATAAACATATTCTGTCCCCTGACATCAATTTAATCTACAAGTCAATTTTAAAATTTAAATTGTTCCGAGTAAGGATTTAAAGTGCACCAAAAGCATCTATAGAATACAGACCTTAGCAAAGCATTCGTAGCCACGATAAACGTAAGCCAGACTAAACCTACAGGAAAAACATGATAAAACATATTGTAAGTATTATATTTATTTTTACAATTCGGTCAAAAGTAATCAGAGTTTGGTGTTGGAGAACTTACATAATCCCTCTAATGATAAGGTCGAATACAGCCTTCATGATCCAACACTCCCTTTCCCAAGCCGATAGTAAATCGTTAGGAGAAATTATGAAGGGAAAATGAAGCTTTGGTAGTGGAACAGAGACGCCTATAGCTGGTGTCTAGAGTGCATTTTCTCTTCTTAAAACAAGGACACTTCCAAAATATCTCAAAGGATTCTGTCAGGAGGGATTGTCTCTAACAATATAACAACTTTCCTATTTGGAAGGCTATAGTTAAGTAGGAAATCTATTACTATAAAATACAGAGAAGAAAAATGTTTGAAAAAATATTTCAATTTCCCGCTGAAAAGCTGTTTTCCCCCCTAAAGTTTAATTTGAAATTTTTTCATGCAGGTATTTGAATTGTTTTTATTCCATACATGCACATTTTCAGTTTTTTTGGGATTTGGATTTCATTTGTATAGATATATATATATATATATATATATATATATAAGATTTTGTTTGACTAAACTCACCTATCTACAAATCACATTTTCATATGTCTACCGATCTGTTTTTTATTTCCTGTTTTTTAGGTAATCAAGCCGAGTTTAAATTATGGTATCATCCATCAAATGAGTAACTGTTTAAGATAATTAGCCGTGAAAAAAGGAAATGAATTTGTAATTTATTTGGTTAAATTCAGTTTTTGAGTTAATTCTTCTCTTATGAACACGTTTCTGCGGACGGATGTTGCGGTATTGCAGGAGAAGATGATTTAGTTATATACAAATCCATTATCATGAAAACCTTATTTTTTTATTAATCTTTTTACATGTGACAATTATTTTGTTAAACTTTTTACACTAATCATGGTAACAATTTTAAATGGGAATGCTATAATAAAAAATAAAAATACAAAATTTAATCTTTATTGAAAAATTAATTTATAAGTTTTTATATACATATATATAAATCGCATATTTCAATAGAAAAATATTATTTTTTTAACATATAGTTATGCAATATATACAACTTAAATAATAATTAAAAAAACAAATACATTGTAAAGAGTTCATTTCAAAGTTATACAGACAAAGTAATCAAATTGGTCGAGACTAATGATAAAGGTATATATTCCATATTATGTTTTCATCGATTTATTATCTTTAAATACAATTATGCTGGATATATTATCCATATAAATATAATAAATCTACCCTAAAAACGATGAAGAGGACTTCGCGATAACTAAACTTAATTATTTGGAATGTACATCTTTTTATATACATATAAATAAAAAGCCAACGGTTCACCATTATACAAATCAGATAGAGATCTTTTTACTTATGTTTATTGTTTTTCACTCCACACGTATAAACTTATTTTAATCAAATCTCTTTTTATTAAAAAGAGGTAAAATAACATTTGGTTTCTCGCCTAAACTATTTGAGTAATATTTTTTGTCAAATTTTGAAAAAATCCCGCCTAATTAATGTACAGAATCATTTTGGTCAGATATTGCAGCTATTGTCTTTATTAGTTGCATGATTTAAATTTGGAATATAATATATTGACAAAACTTACAGCTATTACCTTTATTAGTTACATGGTTTAAATTTAGTATATAATATATTACAAAAAAATAAAAAGATTTTTATTTAAATTTAAAAATAAAAAATAATTATTCATAACTTACGGGTCAATATTTACTTGGACGTAAACGAAATAGTCAATATATAACTTACGGGTCAATATTAACTTGGACGTAAACAAAATAGTCAATTATTTATAATTTAATAAATTACTCAACTACTTAATTTTTTTTTTATTTTAGTAGTTTATACAATAATAAATTATTTGAAGTAATGAAACAATATAAATTTTATATTTATACTTATTATTCACATAGACTGTTAAATATATGATAACATTTTACCAAAATAACTATTTTATGGAATCACATATAGTCAAATCGATTTTCTGAATTAAAATTTTGGAATTGGACTTATTTTGAAACGAATATAATGTAATTTATTATCAGTTATGTGCACCACACGGGTTGTATACTAATTTTAAATAGACATTTTTATGTTATTTTGCACAATTTAGACTTTATATAACACTTTCAATAAATTAATATAAGTAAATTGTATTACATATTGATTTCATATTTTAAATTTATAAATATTATTTAATAAGATTTTTTTTTTGGTAAATTTAATAAGAATTTTTAACTATAAATATCAATAAATATCTCTTACCCGTGCATTGCACGGGACTTATACTAGTAGTTACATATATTAAAGAATTTTAATTAATAGATTAACTTATATATACAGATTATGTATTTATATTTTATACTTTTTAAAAATTATATTTTGTATTTATTAACGTTTGATATATATGCTATTTTAATTGTACCAAAAAAAAAAAGAAATATATGCTATTTTAATCATATAAGTAATTTTATTTTATTTTTCGAATAGATAAATTGTTTGGATATATAATAAACAAAAATACATTTAAAAAAAAAATGAAGAGGTGAATTGAGAAACCCGATATCACACACTGGTAAACTTAATAGTATGAATCATTATATTCCCATGTCTTATATCAAATACATAAATATCCCTGTTCAAAGCTGACACACACATACATGCTTGACCCTATTTCCATACTTAAACTTTCAGATGACATGTCTCCAAGAACGTAACTAAGCAGACGTTGAACAAGAGTGTGATTGGATTTGGACCACTTCAAAGCACGGTTATGCACAATCTATGTAATGGATTTTCAACTGGTGACACTCCACACGAGTTTGGTCAATTTCTAATGCGAAACCTTCTGCGACGAGGTCATTGAGAATCACGAGATTTGTGCCTTGTAATGTTGGGTGCGTTTACAACTTTTTCAAACACTGCTGAACATTGAGTCAATCTCATTAGTCGAGCGCTCGAACACTAGCAAAAGAATCAATTCTTGATCGATAAAGTTACTGCTCGATTAGACTCAACTCATTTGCAATCCCACTCAGAAAAAATCCAACTCAACAACAAGTTTCACACTCTCAACAACTAAACCACATGAAACGAAAATGGGAAAAGAAGAATAATTACCACATCTTCAACTCATGATAGAAGATAAGTCCAAAAGCATCAATCGAAACGGCCTGTACTTCGCGGGCTTCCCCGGCCCGAAATCCGCACCACTATACAAATTGAATCTTAGCGAGCCCGACAACCCAAAGACTCGTTTGTCGATCAATGGCCAGCACATCACTAGCCACTCATCCGCATCTCTTAGCAGCTCCTCCTACTTATTAATCTTGTTCGCAATAAGCTCCCCAATCATTTTCCCACCAACAATCGAGCTCGTGTCCCCAGCTGTGTCGCGATTGGTGATGCCGATGGCGATGACAAACCCATCAATCGCACTGGCACAAGAATGTAAGGGAAAATCACCTTTAGGGTGAAATTGATGTGGTCGTGTATAGGGTTTCTGTAGAATGGGGATTTGGGGGTGAGGTGAAATTGTTCGGAGACATTGTGAGTAGAAAGGCGAGATGCCGTTGATGATGAGAGAATTCATATGACGTCGCTGGATGGTGAGAAATTTGATATAACTACTCAGATAAAGATGGAAGCACCTGACGAGTCTAGCTCGAGCTTGGCTCGTTCGAGTTCGAGGTCTTCACGAGTCGAGCTCGAATTAATTTAAAGTTTATTTAGTTAACGAGTCGAGCTGAAGATAAGGCGCCGAAAAGATAATTTTTATATAACTTTTTATAATTCGGCTTGTTAAATCTCGAGGTCAACTCGTTAAGGTTCGAGTTCGAGACCTTAACTAGACGAGTTTGAACTCGATTTCTGGTTTATTTATTTACAATAATGCTAAGGAGCCAACTGTTGGTGTTCCGTTATGGAGCCAACAGCCGATGGAACAGCTCCATGTGGGGCTGTCCCACATTGGAGCCATGTGGACAGCCCGACATGGAGCTATCTCATTGGTTGTTGGCTCCATAACGGAGCCAACAGTTGATTCCTTAGTATTGCTGTATTTATTTATTGAACGAGTCGAACATGACTCAGCTCGTTAAAGGCTCGAGCTCGAGCTCGAGTACCCTAAGCTCGAGCTCGGCTCTACAGGCCTAGCCTGGACTATAGAATTTGCATGTGGGTCTTTTGCTGTTTCTTGGAGTATTTTCTTGGAGTGTTTTGAAGTGAAGTACATAACTGAACATTTTGTTATTGTTTCCTGTAATGCAAATAAAAAAAAAGGACTAACATTAACGAACATTTTTTTTTTTTGGTAAAATAAAGGAGGCTAGAGGTCTTAGAATAAGATTAAGCTAGAACCCGATGGGAGTAAGAAACCCCAATAAGGTCATGCTGAAGCCATGCTCCCAGGCAGTAGAAGGAGATAAAATCCGATGTAAACCGACCGAAGATGATGCGGCTAAGCTCGCCATATGGTCCACCGCAAAATTAGATCCCCTGTGAACGTGTTGAATCTCAAACGCTCTATAAAACATTAGTAATGACGACGGTGAATAATATTAAGACATCGAGTCAATCCATATGGAAAAGATAGGATTTAGACAATATTTAAATTCAACTGCAACCATTGTTTTAAATTGAAATGTATATTGCTAAAATTATGTGAATTGATGAATAATGAATTAAAGTTGATATGATACGTAAAAATGATTGGTTGTTATTATTTAATTATATTCATAAAAAATAAAATTAATAATAATAACTCAAAATATAACAAAAAAAGTAGAAATAACACCTAAGCTAAATTCCATGTCATTTTCATTTAATGTTTGTATTTCTATGAGAAAACTAACTAGTACGAATCCCGTGCGATGCACGGGTAAGAGATACATATTAATATTTATATTAAACGATGGGATATACGCTAATAACATAACACGTAGAGAACTAAAGTAAAACACAACCATACGTATGTTTATATATTTGAAAATAAAATTAAAAACATAACCATTTACTTTTGAAAATCTATATTGTCAATATCCTGCTGCGTAGTAAAATTACAGAAGTCAAAATAAAACGTTGGGAAATCGGTACGATACTTCAATACTTTGCAGTAATAGATTGTTATTTATCAATGTTATTTTCTACTATCCTCGAAATTGTCACTCATCTTTGTAACATTAACGTCACGAATTAATCCAGTTATGCGGCCACCCTGTAAAATCGCAATAGAAAAATAATATTTTTGTCAAAAATTATTAAATAATAAATATTTACAACAACTATTAAATCACATAATGAAGAATACTAACATCACTATCGTGGAAAACTATTTTCAAATAACTTTTGTAAGAGGCATCAAACATCATCTTAAAGATGCTGCTGGAAGTTTCAAGATAACCTTCGTATTTCATTTAAAATCCTTGATTAGATAAAAGGTAGATCCATGCCTTTATTTTGAATGTGTGAACTTATGATTAGTATGGATTTCATTTTACCAGGAATGTGAGTTTATTTATAGATGAAATTTTTGTGCATATATATGCACTTATTTTCTAAGTTTTAAAATGTGGATTTATATGATATAAGCTTATTACTTGATTTGATTTTTTTGGCAATTTTGAGGGAAATCGGATCATATCCCAAGAATATCCTAAGACTTGATTTTTTTTTTTCGATTTTGGTGGTAATAAAAACTATTCCAATAATATTATGTATTTATCTCTTAAATATATGATTTTTTTAAATGGTAATAAAGAATTTTAGTAATTTGAGGTTCCCAAAATTTTTTATGTTCTTATTTTTTTTAATCCAATATGTTAACACTAACTATTTTGAACGTGTAACAAATATAAAATTGTTGAGATTTTCCTTTAATTGAATCTATGCAATTAGGTAAATATTATTAAGTTAATATATATAACTCTCTCTCTCTCTCTCTCTCTCTATATATATATATCTATATCTTTATATAAAGTAAATAAACAAAAGCAGTATCATACCACTATAATATGCTTTTAATTTGTATATTTTAATCAAAAGGGAAATATAACATCTGATTTAGGTAAATAGATATATGATATTATTTGACATATTCCTTAAAATCCCAGACTTTATTACAAAGTTATATATTTTTTTATATAGTTGCAATACGTCAAGTCAATAATTTTAAAATACTAATGGCCTCACCACATTGTCAATAGAAAAATTACGGAAGTCAAAAATTAATTGTAGCAAAATCGGAAGAAATTTCCAAGACTTTCGTCTTCCTATTAATTATGAGTTTCAACTTCGCCATGGTAGAACGATATTTACTAATATTGCTTTCTAATTTGTAATTACGAATCTTTTAAATATTCAATTTTTTTCTGCGTGCAGACGTATATTCAATAAGGCTAAGTAAATAATTTTTATAAAAAATAAAATTTTTATAAAAAAATTTATAAAGTTGGTAAATACGTATATTTTGTAAAAATATTTGATAAATACATATAAATTTATAGTCAAAATAATATGACTGAGTAAAGATTTAACAATTATAGTCTTATTAAAACTGAGAAAATTTTATAAAAATATTAATTGGTAAATACGTGTCAAAATAATATGACTAAGTAAAGATTTAACAATTATAGTCTTATTAAAATTGAGAAAATTTTATAAAAATATTAATTGGTAAATACATATATTTTAACTATAAATTTACTCAATCTTACTATTTTGACTGTCGAATTTTTTGGAGATTTTAGGAAATTTTTTAAATATTTTTTTTTAAAAAAAAAAATCAGCGAACAATTATCTTTCAATAAGGCTTTTGTGCAGGTCTATCATCATCTTTTTTTTTTACCAAACGAAAACAAATTCATTAATCTCACAAGATACTTCAACTGAACAATACATACCATCCCTATCAACTAAGATAGGTAACCCACAGGGGAATGCACATTATCCCCCGCCAAAGCCATTTTGGCTAACCCACAACTAACTACTAAGGACTCTGAGCCACTAAAACTACATACAAAAAAAAATAAAAAAAAAAACCTTAACCATAATATCCTCAAATAACAACATACAAGATAAATCAAATAAACCATCTGCCACACCCTGATTCAAAGCAACAGCCAGATTTCCAAACAATAAGGAGCAGTGCACTTTAAGCCATCCTTTGTCCACAGCAAGATTTAAAGCCCACCTAATTGCCTTAAGATTACTTCTATTTCATTATCAGTTCCACTCAAGCACTTGCTTTATCATCGTCAAAAGCCAATATTTTATCCCCAAATCAAATCACAATCAATTTGCCAATTTTTTTTTCCATAGGTTTCTCAACAAACATCTATTGAATCAGTGTCTAGATATGTAGAAAACAACATTTTAAATCACCAGGACCAAAGATTCCAAACCCTAACTTTGGAAAAAAAGGGGAGGGGGGGGGAAATGAATAAAAAAAAGAAGCACAGCAGAAACCTAGGCAACGGGTAATCCGAGGTAATCAAACAACCGCCGATTTCCCGATGATGTTGGTGAACTCATTGAAGTTGATGACGTCGTCGCCGTTGGTGTCGGCACTGTAAAAGATATTGTAAAATCCACATGCGAAAAGAATCAACGACAGTAAAAGCTTCTGTGGCTGTATTCTGGAAGGTCATTATACGAAAGACCGTATATATTAGTCGGAATAAAATTTATCTTTTGAAGAACATATTAATATTGTAACATATATATAATTTCACTCTTAAAAATTGAGCAAAAGGTAGGTTGCCGAAAAACAATCTCCCATGTTTGATTTCTTTTAAAAAGGTCCAGTTATGAATGATAAATGTTTCATTCAGAACAACTCACTTGAAGAAGCTAATTTCGACAGACGTTTAGAGAAATAAAAAGAAATAAAAAATATCACCTTTCCCTAAGACGATTTTGCTGGGTGGGCTCTTTTTCTGAGCTTGATTCAGGATTGGGTTTGTTCTTGATGAGGACATCTCCAAGTTTTTCAGTCACAACCCATTCATTTGCCCTCTTAGCCTCGAATAGACCAATGAATAAAGCCTTGCTCCTGTGAAATGACATTACGTTCTCAAAGAGAAGCCAAGGTATAGCCAGATGTAGTGACCTGAAAATTTCAAAGATCAAATTTCAAAGAGAACCCATTCATCGATTAAACACACCAACTTCTATCTTTTCTCTTTATTGCATTTTCAAATGCATTTTAATGACAAGTTGCAGTCTAACCTTTCTTCCTTATTTTCAAATATATTTTGCAGCGTAATACCAAAAGTTGGAGTGAACTGCAAACATTTTTACGTTGAGCTGGAATTCATCAAAAGCGAAAAGTCTTGATACTCTCTAGTAATTAACTATTAAGGTAGAACTTTGAGGTAACCTCTGTAGTTATTTCATAAGAACTTTTGATACAAGACGAAAGAAAGAATTTACATTAGACCTTGGAGTTGCGACCAACGTGTTAATGGTGGCAATTATAAAAGTGGCCAAAATGGCTCCCCAATTAGGAACATCAGCTTCAGGAATCAAACTCACCAAAGGCAGAACCACACAGTAAAAGGAGAAAGTGAACATAGTCCCAACAATCTTCCGTATGAAGAAGAAATTGTATATTATGTAGAACTTTGTCCAGATTGACACTTCCTGTTAAAAAAAAAAAAAGGGCGAATCAACCATGTCTATTCAGTGCTTTTCAACTACCTTTAAGTATCTCAAGTCTCAACAGAGATGCAAAAAATATACTGTAAGTAGCAAAACTCGAGCGAACCTTGTTTTTCGAAACCTCAATCACCATTTTCCAGAATAGATTGGCCGGCCCACAGGCCCACCTGTGCTGTTGAGAACGATATGCCGTGAAAGTGCTGGGGTGTTCACTTTTAACCTGTTCAAAAGCTTAAAAATCAAATCTTTACTGCTTATGTATCTGTGTCTGGCCAAACATCAAACTTTGGCAGGCAAAATTAATGAAGTTACAAGACATCTATTACATCTTACCTCAAGGTCTTCTAGGAAAACATATTTCCAGCCTTTGAGGCCAGCTCGAATGGCAAGATCCATGTCCTCTACCGTTGTTCGGTCATTCCATCCACCGGCCTCGTTTATGGCTGCAATTCTCCATATTCCACCACTTCCTGAGATTTTTTTTTCTTCAGCTAATTTAATCACACAAGTAAGAAAATTTCAAACCTGAAAGTCTAGAATTTTTCCTTTTTTTTTTATCCATAGTACATCGATGGGAAAACTTCAATTGACGCTTGAAAATCAGGGAACGCTTGAAAATAGGAAGGCAAACAGTTCTGTTTCGTGTCTATTATAATTCGGTTGATGAGAACTTGCTCGTCCATGTCGGGGAGGATGGCGGCGGCGAGCTCGTCGAAGTCGATAGCGCCTTTGTCGTTGGCGTCCATGGTGGCGAGGAGGGCGTGGATCTGGTCGCCGGAGGGCTGCGGGCTCGAGCTGGGTGAGGCTATCGTCGTGATCCATGTCGAACCGCTTGAAAAAGTTGTAGGGCTGCCGAATTATCTGCTTTGCCATCCCGATTTTGGCTGGGAATATTTAGGGATGAAAAAGAAAGATTATCTTCCCTTTTTTTTTCTCTTTTTGCTGTTGCTGCGATCTTTTCCTTTAAATTTAGGATTAAAAAAATTAAATTATAGAAATAGATAAGTTCAAATCAGATGAAATCAATAAATAATTCTCCAAAAAATTCAAATTGATAACTGGCGGACAGATTCAATTTTTTGCCAAAAAATATTCTTCATTATAGTATTTATTTAGGCGGGAACTGAAATCTTTTTTTTGTTGATTTTTTACTTGATTTTTTCAAACAACTATCATTCCCTCTTTATATATTAATAGATTAACAAAATCCTTCTAAATTTCCTATTATGCCTTTTAGCGTAATTGAATTTATGAAAATTGCCCCTCCTTTCCTTAATCCTTGGAGAAAGAATTCATACGTCAAAATCTTCAAAACCAAAATCAACGAATTTCTTCAATTTCCACAAATTAAACATTCAAATTTCTTCAAATCTTCAACTCCAAAAATCAATTGAACACTCATCAATAAGCTATCAACGTTCGGATATACAAACGCAAAATCGAATCTAAGAACATAGAGCTAAACAATTTGTAAACCGTTTACTTACCTCACCATTCAACAGAAGTTATATACAACAGATGATATCAGTTTTTCTATAGAACAATCCGATTGTTTTTCTTATGGAACAATCTGCCTACATGGCTCTTATGTGTATTAAAACAAAATCCATGTCATTTTTTATTTATTTTTGCTTTATTGTTTCTTTGAGAAAAAAAAAAGAAAGGGGCGAACATAACGTCATTATCTTCTTCGTCTTGCATTTACTGTGGCGTACTGTGGACGCCACCAAGAAAAAAAAACGTCGTTATTCTTCTCGCATCTCCTCTGGACGTAACCCGGTTGTTCTTCTTCTCGCATCTTCATTCATACAAGGGTTTTCTGAAAATTTATAAGGTAATCCTAATTGAATTCAACTATGTAAAAGAAATTTTCTAATATTTCGAGTTAATTTCAGTTTATTGAGTTCATGTTTTATTTATTCATGTATTTATTAACAAAATATTATATTATTATAATGAATTCAAAACGAAGAATATTAAATATGAATTTTTTTGTCATGATTGTAGATTTATTTTTATTATTTATGACTTTCGGTATATTTGTTTACGTAGGATGGAGATCAAACAAGATGAAGCGTTCATACCACAGGTTGATTCATCGGTGAAGCCTTTAATAGGACAGGAATTTGAATCGGCGGAAAAAGCTCTTTGTTTCTACAATGAATATGCTAAACATGCAGTATTTAGCACTAAAATTAAAAATAGTGAAAACGATCCAAAAGCTGGCACTCTTGTGATAAAAATGTTTGCTTGCTCTAAAGAAGGGAAGACAAATGTGGCGTACCGAAATAAACGAGTTGCAGTGACAGAAACTAAGGAACGAAAGCGTGGAGAGACTCGTTGTAACTGCCCAGCTCGAATGAGTGTTAGAAAAAAAAAATGAAATTTAGGTGGTGAAACATTTTGTAGAGAAACACAAGCATCCGCTCGCTACTCCTAGGAAGGTTCACCGGTTGTACCGGACGAACAGGCTGTACAGGAAGACGAGGGTGGCTAGGACCCGTAGGCTGTGCGTGGTCCTGATCATCTGAGGAGTCGTCCGAGTCACACTCCTCTGAACCATGCTCTCTTTCGCCGTACGACTCATCAGCATACCCCTGCTGACCATAGGGTAATGGTACGCGTGCGCGAGGAGGTATCGACTTCCCTGCGTAGCGGGGAAAAGTATATCGCAACTGATCGTACGGTCCTGGTGCCGGGGGCATCGAACTGCCTACCTGGCCAGGATAATAAAATCCATGCTCACCGTACGGGAGGACTCCGTGGAGTCGCGAACTATCTGGCTGGCCCTCAAAATGATATCCCTGCGGACCATCTCGCACTGGTGCGGGGGGTCTCGAACTCTGTCTAGCCTGACGAATCTGTACCCTCCGAGCCTCATTGATCATCGTCTGCCTTTCCATGTCCCTCTCCCGACGAACGGACGGTGACTTCTAGTGTGTCACGTGTCAGATCTATCATAATAGTCATCGAACGCCTCGTCGTCGTCCCTGCTATTAGATTGTCCAGGTCTGCCAACACCCTGAATCATAAATATAATTATTAAATTTTTCCATATGTAATGACTATTCTAATAACTATTAAAATAGATTATAATTCATTTTTATTTTAATATATAAATTTTATTCATTATTATTATAATTATAATTGTTGAGATTTATAATAGTTATTATAATTTTTTATTTAAATTATTATAATTAATACTAATTCGTAATTATTATTATATTCAATTATAATTATCATTACAAATTATTATTATTATTTCTTATAATATTATTATTATAAGCATTTATAATTTATAATTATTAATATTATTAATATTATTTTTAGAATTTATAATTAATTACAATTTATTCAACTTATTATTATTATAATATTTAATAATTATTATTATAATATATA